TGGACAACAGAGTTGTCCGTGCGCACCGTGAATGGTGCCCCGTGCAGGTAGTGACGCCAGTGCCGAGCGGCATAAACTACTGCGAGAACCTCACGTTCATCAGCGGTGTAGTTTATCGCGGCGGGCAGGAGCTGACGGGAGTAGAAGGCTATCAGACAATCACCTGAGCGAGACTCGACAGTGCCGTCCTCGGCGATGGTAGGAGAATAGTCAATACAAGGCTCGTCAGTAGCTGGACGAGTAGGCGTCAGTCGGGAAGCAGTGGTAGGGGTAGGTGGTGGGAAGCGAGGGATACGAGGATGAGAGGAATCAGGAGATGGGAGGAAGACCTGAGAAAGCACTGGTCCTACAGCGAAGTCTAACGCATTGGTGGTAAGGATAAAAGGGCGGTCAAAATCGGGTAGGTGAAGAATCGGTGCGCATGTCACCGCCTTCTTGAGGGCGCGAAAGGGGTCCTCGTGGAGGGGTGGTCAAGCCCAGGGTGGGTTCTTCCGGAGGAGGGTGGAGGTAAGGACGTAGGAATACCTAGCGTATCCCCGGATGAAGTTACTATAGTAGCTAATCAGGCCTAGGAAACTGCGAAGCTGCTTGGCGGATGTGGGAGCGGGCCACTCGGCAATAGCAGTGATCTTCGCGTCGTCCATGTGGAGACCCTGGTCAGACACGTAGTTTCCTAAGAAATCCACTTTGTGCAGGGCAAAGCGGCACTTGCTTAGCTTGGTGTAGAAGCCATGTCTGCGCAAGCGGTCAAGGACGTCGCGGAGGTGTCTGAGGTGCTCGTCAAGGGTACGACTATAAGCCAGGATATCATCGAGGTAGACGAGAACGTACTGCTCCAGGATGTCCCTGAAGATGTCGTTCATCGCCCTCTGGAAGGTAGCGGGTGCGTTGGTAAGGCCGAATGGCATCACCGTGAACTCGTAGTGGCCGAATCCCGATCGGAACGCGGTCTTCGGCTGGTCGGCTGCAGCGACGCGGATCTGATGGTAACCGCTACGAAGATCAATCTTCGTAAAGAAGCGGTTGCCTGCTAGGCGGTCAAACAGCTCATCGGAACGAAGCATGGGGTAGCTGTTCTTAACCGTGTAGCGGTTGAGGCCGCGGTAGTCAATGCAGAGATGAAGAGTTCCATCCGCTTTGCGAACAAAGAGGACGGGTGCACCCCACGGGGAGTCGCTGGGTTTAATGAAACCCAGTCTCAGGAGCTCCTCAAGCTGACGCTTGAGTTCGGTGGCCTCGGGGATCGAGAGTTTGTAGGGTGCCTGGTGGTGAACACAAAAGTCAGGCACGAGCTGAATGGAGTGCTCGACGTCACGCATCGGTGGGATGCTGACGTACGAGAATGACGATGGGAAAACGTCGTGGTACTCTCGGATTAGATCATGAACTGCGGGCTCCAAGTCAGCCGTATATCGTGCGAGTTCCTCAGCGTCAGCGTCAACGCGCGATGGCGGGGTGGACTCGACGGACGGCGGAAGGACGGAAGTAGAGATGGGAGTCATGGAGATAGAGGGAGGATCTGGCTTCAGAGGGATGAGCTCGGCGTCTGGACAGTGTGGATCATAGTGTAAGAGATCAGTCACATCCACCATAAAGAAGGTGACGTCGTCCTGTCGAATGAAGTGAGCGAACTGCTGAGGCGAGGTGACAGTGATAGAGGGAGATGGTGTGGGCATTGAAGGCTCCCGGGGAGGAGGATCGGGGCGTGGTGTCGCCGTGGTACCTATGAAAGGTACGCGATATGTCTATCCACACTTTGTTTTGAGAACGAGAGTGTTGGTCGCCAAATCGGCGTCGGTGCTGCGGAACCGACGAAGCCACGGAGTGCCGAGAATGTAGTCATACCCCATCTCCATCACATCGAAATGTGCAGAGGAACAGTGGTGACGAGACGCCGGGGAACGCTCAGTCGACTCGAGAGTGAGGAAGAAGGGGAGGTCAGTGACCGTCTGGTCGAAGAAGCGCTGAGTCTTGTCATCCCCTAGGGTAACGGAGATGGGAGTCGGAGACCCTGTCGTGGGTAAGCGGGCTTCCTTCACCACGCGTGGGTGAATGAAGTCGCCTTGAGAACCGGAATCCCACAACGCTGAGTACACCCTCGTGGAGGTCCCCAGTCGTACGGGGATGATCGGGAGGGTGCGATCATGGTCAGAGAGGATGGCGAGAAGGCGACGCAGTGCAGCGACATGGAGGGTAAGTCGCTCCTTACGAGCCTGGAGCATGCTCAAGTCCAGAAGAGAGGACACAAAGTCCTCGCGAGTAGCAAGCTGCTCGTTGCAACGGGCTGAGCGAATGGCTTGACGCGTCGGTAGTCGCGGCGGGGAAGGAGGGGAGACGGTGGTCTGCGGAGGCGCAGACGGTACTGCGACAGAGGGATGAGTAAACTCTGTCGAGTCCTGGGATACCTCAACTCCAGTAGCGAGAGGGGCGAACTGCGACGGAGATGTCGAGAAGCCCACTACTGAGGAGGGCGCAGGTGTACACTGCACCGTGGCTAGGAGGCGCCGTGGGGACGTGAGGCGCCGGGGGGGGACTGAGAACGACGCTGACGAGAAAGGTCAGCGTAGTGGTGGTCGAGGGTCGTAGTGTAAGGGCACCGCGAGGTGGTATGACCGTCCAAGTGGCAGCGCAAACACCCACGCCGGCCCAGAATAGCCGCGCGCTCCTCAGGGGAAAGGACACCACGAGGAGGGACGAAGCCCTGAGGGAGGTCCTCCTTAGGGACCACGGGGGGCGATGCGCCAGCGTGACCGGAGCGGCTGCGTGCTCGAGCGAGGGCAGAGAGCGCGAGCTGAAGGCGCTCAGCTGCAGGGAGGGTAGAGTCCTCCAAGTGATAGTGGACGGCCTCGCAGAGATCGAGGTCGTCGCTGTGGTCGCCCTCAGATGATAGTGGGGCAACAGCGTCCTGCTCTCCATACTCCAGCGCACTGAAGCGGCGCGAGAAGTGGCGGCCCTGCTGCGTGGAACGGCGGGGGCGACCGCGGAAAGGGGAACGGCGCTGGGAAGTGTCGTGAGAGGAGGAGGAGGCGTAGCCCGTGCGCTGGGGC